CAAATTCGTGGGAAACAGCTAGTTCATTATACCCTGTGAAAACTTATCTGTGGTACGCCTGTGGAGTATGAAGGCAACACGGGTTGACGATAATCGAAACTACTTTCTCGATCTCTATTTTGCAAACTGCGAGCTCTTTAAAAGACCAAGCGCATTTCCCTATAAAAAGAAGTTTCATACTCATACCATACTGCATGTATGTAAATGCTTCAGATTTAACTTTATAGTTCATGAGCCTCGCGATGGGTAGTTAAATACGCTTCCCGTTTTTCAGGTGTCTCCCAAGACCGAGCGCTTTCTGTCTGATCTCTTTCTTTGTCTATAAAAGTCGGTTAGTACATGTCTGACGGAAGATATTTGGAGTTTTATTTATTGATATAAAAAAAAAATATACATATTTTAATTTTGACTTTCCACTCGAAGAAAATCGTCTACTAAAATACTTTCGTGAGGTGATTAACTGAGCTTCTGTCAGATTTGAACGGCCCTCATCATCATCATCATCATCATCAGCCCTTTTACGTCACCAACTGCAGGAGCTCAGGCCTTCCTTATGGATGGTTAAAGAGGATGGGCCACGACCCTCCATGCTGGCCAATGTGGATTGGAGGATATAAACGACTGCAAATACTACCGGGACCAATCGCTTTATGCGCTTTCCGAAGCTTGGAGTTGCTTGAGATAATATTTTTTGGTCATCCATCCTGTGCCCGACCTTTGCGAAAGTTGCTTTACAACTACAATCGCGGGCCATGGCGTTTATTCACTACGCCACCGAGCTACTCTGAACCGACCCTCAGACTCGCGTAATATTATATGAGTGTTGTGACCAATGAATAAAGCATTGTTTCCAGCGAAGACTGAAAATACCAACTTTGAAGTACTACAGCAATTTGTATGTAAAAAAAAAAACAAAAAGAGAAAAAAATAGCTATAAGAGAAAAAAAAAAAATATATAAATAGAGTTGTCTTTACGTTCTTAACTTCGGTTGACGTGAATTTAAGTTTTTTAACGTCGTGGAAAAACTTCTGACATTGTCTCTGTTACCTGGCAAGCAACAGGGGTGAGTAGGATTCTCCTCCGTGAAACCGACAGTGAGCTGCCCGGTGGGTCCCCAGAGGCCTACCCACCAAAACCCGTACTCTACACCCTCTCATGGGAAGCTATGGCCGAGTCACCAGGACACTCAAGTATTGGACCATTGGTCCCCTTGCATATGGAAAATTGGAGAGACTCGGGTAAATCGAGTGCCTCTCCCAGACAGCCGAAACTGTGAGCGGCTGCCAACCACCTCCGCTGGCCCCGACGACGACGTGAACCTAATCTGATAAAAATATGCGTTCACTGTAAACTACACGAGGCTTAATTGCATCATCGGAAGGCTCTTTCCGCTTGTTCTTCTACTCGCGTGATCGTATACCACATGTCCATTATAAGCTGAACCATATTTAATATGATTGGCCATATATAAATGAGGTCAACTTACTTCGGAGTTGTCAAAATTTTGGAATCTTATTTTTTTATTTGTCATCATACAAATTATCATTTTATAGACAATATTAATTCGTAGCTCGGTGGCGTTACGGATATGCGCCGCTGCACACGATCGCTATTGCTAAGCAATTTTCGCAAGAGTTGTTCATGGGATGGGTGACCAACAATTATTAAACAAAGGCCTGAGGCCCTGCAGTTTGGCTGAGAAAGAGTTAATGATGATGATCAATATATCAAAGACGAAAATTTAATAAAACAGTAAATATTTCATAGCAATTTTGGCGACCACGTCACTTCAAATTGACACAACATTTTTATTTGTGAACCGATTGAAATAAATCTTACACTAAATGTTAACGGAAGAATGCCGCAATATAACAGTGAAAACCGCATTTAAATCGGTTTAGCCGTTTCTGAGATTATCGTGCACAAACGCACAGACAAACAGACAAACCGACAAACAGATAAAAAATTTAAAAATCATTGTTTTGTGTTCTATTACTCTTATAAATGTCCCTCATAACAGTTTTTTTCATATATCTTCAATGTACAGACATCGATCGGTTACGTTTTTATTATAGTATAGATTAGAGTGAAATTAAAATACTTATTTTAAATGATTTTTTAACAATTTTAGTAATCTCGGTACGTCAAAACGCTGCACAAAACAAGATACGTTTAACAATTTTCTTTCACAGTTAAAATAATGTTACAGTAGTATGAAATCTTTCATAACAAACAAACAATTCATATAATAATTTTGAATACATAATTTTTTGCCTTTACTATACAATAATAGCAGTTGCCTTTCGCGTTTTCTTATATATTCATACTTTGAATCTAGATTCGTGGAACAAATATCCCTTTTACTACGAAATGGAATTTACTCTATAAAGTAGGTAATAGGGTCTAGGAGGCTTCTCTTAGGGACAATAGGATGATTAATGGTCCATTGAATGCATCTTAAAAAAACGAATCCAATGAGCTTTGAATCATCGAAAATTCCTACGGAAAGTACCTCAGTGGCTGACATGGCGGGTTTGGCCGGTTATTTCAGTCTTAGCATATTAATGTCCCCACAACTGAGGCTCAGGCCTTCCCTATAGATGGAATAGGGAGAATGAGCCATGACCCAGCATTCGAGCCCAGTGTGGATCGGTGGGTATTAACGACTGTGGGTGTAGCCGGGACCAACAGCTTAAAATGCCTTCCGAAACACGGAGTAGCTCGAGATAATACATTTTTGATCACCCATGGCGAATCGCAGACCGATCGCGCCAACCACTGCAGATCTACAAAAGTGATACTACCTACTATAAATGCATTTTCATGGACTCGTCATGATGTATAGACGTGTGGTTAGAAACAAGACTGTCGTTGTGACTATTGTTATCCCCCTACATATTTACCGTTTAAAGGAACTTCATCTGTGCCATGAACGAAACCTGTATTCTATCTACACTATTTAATTATGTATTTCCAAATCACTCATCAATCATCAGCCGGAAGACGTCCACTGCTGAACATAGGCCTCCCCCTTTGAACGCCACGACGGACGACATTGCGCCAGCTGCATCCAGCGGCCGCCCGCGACTCGGACGATGTCGTCCGTCCATCTAGTCGGGGGTCGACCCACGCTGCGTCTTCCGGTTCGTGGTCTCCACTCGAGAACCTTTCGTCCCCATATTTCCAAATTCTTGTTTCAAATACTCCAAAGATAAATAAAAAAAAGATCCCAATATTAAAAAAAGGATTTAATTGTGAATGCAATGATTGTAGACATGTCCCGCGATTCAGCCGCATTTTCCAATTTTGGATTATATAGTGTGTTATAGTTATTTAATCCAATAAAATATTTACTTAATCCTAAATCGTATGAACCACTGTCATTAGATCTAACGTATTTCACGTTCAAGTTAATAACTTAAAGGATGCAGAAAAAACACATACAAATTGAAAGTTATGACCGTTTATATGGATGTAAATATTTCATATCTGACGTGGTGAGTGCTTTTTTGTTAAGGTACTGTGAGATCTCACGTAGAATCGTCTCCTTTGGGCTGAGGAATTGGATACTATCCTCGAACGTCGAAGCTATCAAATAATAGGATCTAGCGGTAACGTCGTCAGGGTTATCCTTCATAAAATGACTGTAACAAACAAAAACAATATTGATAAATTTTCAATGTCCTTAATAAAAAATTTTTTAAAAAGTCCACCAGTCCCAGCAGTCTGAGATGGGACTCGAACCCACGACCTTTCGCAATTCGGGAGACTACTCTAACCACTGAGCTACCCAGGGGACTAATTGTCTAACTTTAAAGCTATCGCCATCGCTTTCTGTTTGAAAGATGTTGTATAACCATTGCTTGTTTCTGAAGACAGTTGAAAAAAATTATTTGTATTATGCAGCAATGGTTGTGCAACACCTTTCAAACTGAAAGCGATTGCAATAGATTTAAAATTAGACAATCAGGGGGCTGGACCTAAAGACAGACGAATTTTTCAAGCAATTGGTACTTTTCGCTACTAGTAAGCGTATTTTCATCAATGTTCAGGCAATCCACCTAAACAGCCTTAAGAAATATTTTTTTAACTTCCGATTAGATGAAAATTTCTTGTAAATATATTATATTTTTGTTGTAATTATTATTATATTTGATCAATTTTGCAAAGCAAAATTAAATAATGCATAAATCCATCTACTTTGTTTATAATTTGGGTATACTTTTCGTTTAAAATATATCAGGATTATCAACACGCAAAAACTCTGGTCAAAAATTAAATTTCTGTGTACTGTTGTCAATAAATATGTTAGTCTTCATAAAATTTTAATTTATAGACACTATTCTTATCGTAACAATATTTATATGTACTCGTAGATGTGCTAAGATTGTATAGATCATTGATTTAATGCAAAGTAGACAGACTAGCAAAGGTACATCTACTTTGGATCGTATATCATTGAAGCGTGATATGTACGAGACAACTCTTTGATCCGATCGACTCTGTTCAGAATGTTTATTCACTGTATGACCTAGAAGGTGGGAACGAATGCCTAACTGTAGCCATAGAATACGATATCTAAGCGATGTTATGGCAATATTTCGTTTAATCTGCCTGCTTTCACATTTTTGTAGATAGACATCTAAGTTAGTAGCACTATTCTGAAAGCCATAATCATCATTCGTTTGTCATTATTGAAGTTCTTATCAAAATAGTAAAAATTTAAAGAAAGGATTAGATGTTATATTCTATGCCTAGAGTAAGGTGGTCGCACCCAGGATACCCATCACCCTGAGTACCATCATACTCTATAAATTGGAGACTGCCCAAATATAGAATTCAGCTAGTTTCAGAGGCAATAAATCGATCTAGTTAGGTGTTGTTTACCAAAAAAAACTGATCAAAGCTCGGTAATCCACATACCATATTATAAAACCATCAAAAAAGTATGAAGTCACAAGTAAGCCGAAAAAACACTCACGCTATTAATTTTTGCCACTACCAGTAGTAAATCTTAATAAAATGGCCCTTTTTTCATATTTCCTACAAAATAGAGACAAAAGTGAAACCAAATTCCATATGTCGATGGGCAATCTCCTTTAAATGCCAAAAATTTAACTTACTTCAAGCACTGCATCATATACTCGTAATGTTCAAGAAAACAGGAACACGGGCCGAATTGTATTAAAATAGGTGTACTCGGTACTGTATTATCAAGTACACTATTATCAGGAAAGTTTGTGGATTCTACTCGAGGTTGCGGCAAAGGAACAGAAGGTTTATCCCTGGAACTCTTCAGATACAATTTCCTGATAAGAGTCGACGTGGTTACCGGCATTTGTTTATTTATCTCGAGCTGTCTCGTCCTTTTATTGTATTCTTCGTGATAGTGTTCGATCGCTACGTCTCGTTTCACTGCAGTCATTATTGACTCCAAATCTTCAGTAGCCCAGAGTTCGTTTATCTTTTTGCAAAGAGATTGGATGAACCAAGATCCATCTAATTCATGTCTGAAACATAATAATTTAAAAAATTACAAACTGCTGCTAAAAGTTGTCTTGGAGTATTCGAAGGGTTATTAATTCACAAAGTTGCCGTAAACAACTATTGGTTTCAGACAATATCCTTCATACACCAAAGATGTAGAGCAACTAATTCCACAAAGCTACTGTCCAACAGACATTCCTTCAGTGGAAGGATAGCGGAGGCATGTGTTGGATAATTTTGAGAAAGCATAAGTCAATTAAAACTGTTTCATTTATAATTGTGGCCATCTAGTGTAGAAACTAGGTAACAAATATAGCTCAATAGTTTTCTCGAGTTAGCATAGGAAGTTTACAATTTTCTTTATAACTGTCGCCATCTAGTCTAGAAAGTAGGTAATAAAAATAGCTCAATAGTTTACTCGAGTTAGAATAGGAAACAGTGGCGTTGCTAGGTCATCTAGGGCCCTGGGGCAAATAAAAAAATGGGGCCCACTGCTATCAAAACTGGTAAGGATTTTTGAAAAAAATCATTAAATATACAAATATTTTAAAAACGCTAAGCAAATTTATCATCAGCTCTTTTTCGTGCATGGGCAGGTAATAAAACTATTAAACACTAACAACATAAATTACGATTATTTTTATACTTGGTGTAGGTATTGGGCATTAAAACGAAATAGAAAAGATTCAAGGGTTTATTATGGGTATGTTCCGATATACACTGCGAGCACTGCGCAGTGGTCTTACTGCTGAAAAATCCGTTCCGTTATGGACTGCCAGTACACTGCTACAGTACTCTAGGGAAATTTATGACGTCATAAATTGCCGCCATATTTGTACTGCGAGCACTGGAGATTTCGAGGTAAGGTGCTCGCAGTGCTTTTGATCACGTGATCAGTCGAAACAGTTGTGAGTATTGTGCGCGATAGTTCAAACAATAGTTTATTCACTCGGAGTTTATAAACAAATGAATTAAGAAGAGTTATAAGATGGATTTAATTGATAAATAATTTTTTTATACAATTTTCCAATTTTATAATATTTTCTTTTGAAAAGAGGGAATCTTTATATTTATATTCACCTTGCATTAACAAATTTGAAAATGGCGCCAAAAAATAGGATTAACAGTATACTGGACTGCGTTCCGTTTTAAAAAGTCACCAGTATAACTAACTATAAAGGAACGGGCTTCCAGTATACTACATTGACGTCATACTGTTCAGTGGTCGCAGTGTATATCAGAACATACCCTATATATTTATTTATTCATAGATCCGTTGCACCAACTTACTGTTATTTAACCTATCGCTATGCATGCTATTTATAAAAATTATCAATAGAAATATTTTTTCCAGAAGTACTTGCAGAAGGCTGACTAAAAAACTTGTCAATTTTTGTTTAGTTTCTCCTCTTTCTTGGCTTTGTTTGCGTTTATATGCACCACTGGGTTTCTTTTTTTTTTGTCCATAATATTAGTTTTCTAATTTATTTATGCAATATATATAAGATTATACTCAAGTAGGTACTGACTGTTCACTGACAACGTTACAAGTAAAAGGAAAGCGAAACGCAATGATACGATACAAGACGTCGCTGGGGAATCCCCGGCAAACATTTTATCGCCGCCAATGTTACCACATTTGGCAGTTTAAAAAAATGACAAAAAAACATCACGTAATTAATGGACGGCCCCCTACCGCATGTGACGTGTATTTTTCACGGTATTTTGAGTTATATAGTGAGTAGCCGAAATCTATAGATTTTTTACGTAACTTTGTATACGTACTACAATCAAACAAAATTGAATTTTTGTATGGACCAGTACAAAAAATTTATTGACATACGCTTTCTTACTTCTGATACATTAACTTTTTAACTATTCTCGAAAAAAACTCTTGACTCAAAGTTCACAATCGCGAATCACAGAAACGCATATCGATAAATAATAATATGCAGATATTGATATCCAACAAATTGATGAAACATTAATAACACTGTCAACCCACACAAATAATTTAGGGGAATTCCCTTTTTATAACTCTGGAATTTCTCACAACTGAGTTTCCATGGTTAAACTCGAGTTGTCACCTGTCATATTTATTTTGAAAATGGGAGAAATATTCAAAAGTTGAGTTTGATTGAGAATTTCTGGTAAAGATTCGAGGGCCCCCTGAGCTTGAGGGCCCCGGGGCACTGCCCCGCCTAGCCCCTTGGTAGCTACGCCACTGATAGGAAGGTGTCAATTTTCTATGAATTCGTTATAAAAGTTAGTCTGGTATTTTAAGCTTAAATTTAATATCACAATCCGTATATTAAACTTAAGACCTATTAATCAATGTTACAGTTACAAAATTCGTCTAACTATCAACATATGTAAGAAAGAAAAGTAGTTAGATACTGCATAATTTAGTGTCAATGAATGCGTCAAATAATTCAGCATTTTTTGATTTTAAGTAAATCCCTATTGACAATATTTTGACATAGGGATTTCATTGCGGTTAGTTACAGGTTATAGGTGCGATCCATATAAACGTAGATAAATCAAAGACCTACATAGAAGTCTTTGAGATAAATAGTAAATGAGTATGAACAAGAACTAAAGTCAAAATAGGATAGGCAGTAAATAAAAATAAGAAAACCATTTCATTACACTGAATAAAGTCAAATAATACCTATGTGATGGCTTGCCGATGTATGAGCTATGTAATATCAACATATCAGCCTCCGCGGGCAATGTGTAAGGTTCAATCTCTTCATCAAAGTCTTTTCGGGTCTTCGCTTGAGTTGTCGCGGAAACATTTACAGCTTTTATATCTTCACCGCCTCTACAAGCCTGAAATTTAAAGGTGAATTTATTAAGCGCTTGCTGTTTTCCAAATAAATGAAATGAAAAGAATAGAATGTTATCTTTCATAAAATCGTATAGTTCGTAGTATACTCGAAATTTCAATATACCTATTATGGATTTAAATAAAAATCTTATTATGAACCGAAAAAAACTCGAAAATAGCTTTAAATATGTGAATTTCTCCTATTTACGATAATTTAGTACTGACGAAATTTAATGCAAACAAACAAACGACCAAATCTTTCCTCTTTATATAATTTCTAATATATTTAGATATTGGAAAAAAATATGTGGAGTGAATAAACAAAACTTTCACTATGTTGATTTATTTTTTATGTATATTGTTAGTATTTTATATTGTTAGTAATAGAATAATCTTATTGTACATCCTTTTGTAATGTTATTTGTGGTGGAAATAAATAAATATTATTATTATTATTATTATATTTCCTATTATTAAAAAATATATTACAACAATTTTTTTTTTCAGAAGAAGAACGACTTCGAGAAAGTGAGATTATGTAGGTTGTTACGAGTATATGATAACCGCCTGACTTCAGTAGCAGTGTTTTGAATAAGTAAGTCGTTTTTAAGATAAGTATTATTTCTAATTTTTATACAGCTTGAAGTCAGTTCTATTTTTTTTTATAATTGGTAACAGAATACGTCTGCCGATTGATGAGCCACAGACGGTCAGTTGCACAAACATCCATTAAGGTTTAATAACGCCTTTAAGCTCTAATGAATGTCAAATTTCTATGGGTAATGCCACATTGAACTAATTACTATTTTAATGGACGTCTGTGCAACTAGCTGAGGATAGAAAAAAAATACATTACAAAATTTTGTAGCTTTTAAAATTACCTGTATAATAACAAGTTTTGGCTTAGTGATAAGTGTAGACTGTTTGTCCCCTTTCAAATAATCGAGGATTAGGAGTTCACTGTACTGATCATCTTTAGCGCGTATGAGACCGTTATATGTACCATGGGTTAAGACAACCACTCCCACGCATCCATAATCCGTAAAATCTTGACTACAAACTGAAATCATATTATTTATAATGTAGGCGCTAGACATATAATCAAAATTTGGGCAATTGGGCAAGCATACCTATACAAAAATTTTGATATTTTGTGTCTGCCAGACCTGCTTTCAAATAATTAATTTTAAAATCGGTCCATTAACTGTCCAATGCAAACAAATAATCGATCAAATCTTTCCTCTTTATAATATAAGTAAAGATAAAATAAGTAGGAACATTTTTTCCAACGTATTCAACAAAGAGATCGATCACTATTTTCACTATATTACCATTGCAAATGTAAAGTTTTTAACCAATCACTTACTTGATACAGGTTACTTACATTCCTTTAATTCCTTCTCGATCTCTTTCTTCGTGAAATCATGTCTCTTAATTACATCAAAGCCAAAATTAGAAAATGTCCTCTCAAGTTCTGTAACGTCTTGTTCCGTGCCATATCTTTGTCTATAACCATTAACGTTCTCTTGATTAAATATCAACAATACATTCTTTGAAAATTTTTCCAGTTCATAGGTTTCAGCAGTCTTTGGTAACTGTTCCAATTTACGTTGCGGTAAAGAAGTAATATTTTCACTTGGCGATTCTTCTTTATTTTTAGAACATTCTTTTATCTTAACTGTTACAGGCGGTGTAATTGGTTCTTCTATTTCAGGAGGTGATATCATCTGTCCATCCCGGGTAATCATAAACGGTTCACTCATTACATAACTGCCTTCAACTAATACGTTTTCACTATCATCAACGCTTTGACCGATAAGCACAATATCCCTTTTTTCTCCACTTTCACTTGAAACTTCGCTGAGAGTCGTTTGTATCACTCCAACGTTTTGAGGCTCGTTGGATTTCTTTCCATATGCGATTCCCCTTTTCTTACCCCGTCTGTTTCTAATAACATACCCACTGTCAGAAGCTCTCCGTCCGTCTTTCGACGTTGAAGGTTTCACGTCGTCTTCTTGATTCATTGCACGGCTAATTCATATTAATTCTAGTTCAAGAAATATCGCAAACGAGTCGTCGTCTACACGGACTACTTGATAATACTTAGTTATCGATTGACTTTTCATTATATCTTATCGACATGATAACATAGATAGATACTGCAATTGTAATATATATTTTGCGCACCTATAGGAAAGCAACAAGGAGTATTTACTTGTTTGTCTTTTTGGAAAGTCTCAGCACAATCATGATCTCATTAAAGTGTAAAATGGATAGATATACTGTGATAGAAAATTCAAACCATTAGTATACCTATATTGAAATTCTCAAGCATCTAGATTCTAGTTTTAAAATATTATATAACACTAATATTATACAGAGGAAAACTTTGTTTGTAATAAATAGGCTCAAAACTACTAGACCGATTTTAAAAATTCTTTCAATGCTAGAGTAAAACAAAATTAGTAAAATAGTTTTGGTTAAATTGGTCTCCCTCTCATCTGCTTAAACGCTATCTGTAGTCGATGGTTGGCATTATGACTCGGGGAATCCCCGCTGCCACGCAATTGATGTGAGGGTTTCCCTACTTGCGATTGCGTCAGTTCATGTTTCATAATCATAATATTTTAGTTGTATCTATTAATAATTGCGGTTCTTTGTCGATAAGGAGCAAATTAATTTTCTGTAATAAATCTATATAAGCAGTGACTCATCGTCGTTTTTAGGCAATTTATTGGATAACTTATTACTTTTTATTCAAGTTATGAGTGACATAAGACGTTTTTTGTGTAAAAAGCGTAATCATCATTCCGATGAAGATAATTTATCTCATATTAAGACATACAAATTGAATACAGACAGACCAGACAGCCCAGGTATGTAGTGATGTTGTTTCTACCCAAATTATTAAAACGTGTAGTATTGAACGTACATTTTGCACGTTACGACGTGGTCAAGACGTGGAAAAAGAATAAAAAAATATAATTTTCTGGTATTTTTTTTTTATAGCGGGGGGGGGTGCAAGTGCACCCCCTTGCACCGTGCTGCCGGCGCCCATGGACACACACATCTATGTCGAGTGAGGCACAATAACCATCTTTTTATTTAAAAATCTGGAATTTTTTTGGACTACATTTCAACGAGTTTATATTACTCATGCTATTAACCCTTATCAAAATAAATTTATGAATGTTTATGTAGATAATATTTGGTCTTTGAATGATTAAAATTGGACGTTTGGTTTTGAAGTTATGGCGAAATTAAAATATTGCGATTTCTGAATTTAATTTGGCAAATATAAGCATAGCCTTAGAATAAAATTGTTTAAAAAAGTGGTAATTTTGTACAAACTTGCCTTAATCACAGCACAAATAATAATATAGAAGTAGGTGCACTCGAGACCCGAGCGAGAGATAATAGCCTAAACATGTAGGGCTGTCGCTTATAGGTTATGCAATTGTCAGAAATGTATGGTCAAGCAATCTCTAAAATATACCTAGTTTCCCCCGGTATGGTAAACATCCGGAAACTATAATACAACATTTAATTTTTTTTTTTTAATATATAGACCAAGAGCTGACTTCAATTTTTTTTCATACCTACGTCATGTCATTAATCTAATGTTTTGTAAAATTAAAACATGTTTTTTTATGAATTATGTATTCATTCATTATTTACAAATAATCAGGCTACGAACAAAATAAGATAATGCCGATCTTAATTTTTAATAATCATGTCCTTTGTACAAACACTTTCTATCAATGGCCCAATTCAATAACAATTTCAATTTGGCGGTATTCGGGCATAGAGATATAATAAATTAAACTACAAATTGATATTTGGTAAACGAAATCTTGAACAGAAATAATTCATAAATACTTTCGATGGGTAAATAGCTACACAAAATTATAATTACTTATGATATTATAATAAATTACCCGAATATCTAAAGAACGAAATATCATATACTTAATTTATAAATATGTGCAATACCATATACTCGATCTGTAAATGCAAATACAATATTTTGGTTAGTTTTAAAAGCCATCTTGTTTACGTCTAGGAAATTTTATAACGAGCGACAATACAGCGACACAGATTATACGCAAGGACGGCGTACTAGCCACGACTGGCGAGTTGCCAATTTTTTTGCCTTACCCCAGACTTTGTCTCGGTTTACCCTAGATTAAGCATATTTTTGAAAAAATACCCTAAACAAATTCCTATAAAAACCTTTAGAGGGCTAGTTGACCTCCGGACTAACAACTCGCTTTTTATAGGCGATTAAAATTGTTTTCTTGCATTGCAAATTTCAAAGATTACATGATTATATTTTATTTTAACACCCCCCCCCCCCCCGTTGGTGATAAATGGTAAGGTTTAAGATTATAATCCCCCTCCCTCCATCCAAATCACGTTTATTTTAAGTACCTACAAAAAATCTTAATTTTTGACGCCGCTTTTCGGTTCAGTAATCGTTGCGTGTTGAAAACTTCGTGTTTTGATTGAGGTTCAGCTACAGTTCAGTTGAAAAGATTTAGCGCGATCGGGCTCACTCGTTGATGCCATTTTTCACAACTATAGAGTAAGTAAGAAACTACCTTTTACACCTTGTTCACACAAACAACCACAGAGTACATACCCCAACAAGCTCCAACCACATTTAGGCTACAGGCAACAGACACAATCGAAAAAAGACAGGTAAAAAATTTATATGCGTTCACTAATTACTACATTATTCTTGCATTCAAAAACACCAGACTGAGAGTTTTTATGTCTTTGGCAGTTGATTAAATAATATGCTATTAAACGTTAAAGCTTTCAAGCTATTACCTGCTATTACCCAAAAATACCCGCGGAAAATAAATTACTCCAAAAAATACCCTCGAAACATTCATACCCTGAAAATTACCCTGTAGAATCAATTTTACTCTAAATCTAGGGTAAATTACCCTAAGTTGGCATCACACCAAATAAAAAGTATAGACGGAGTTTTGCCTAACAGAAAAGTGAAGCCGACAAAACTACGCCTTGGCGTATTCGTACACAGTTTCACGCACACATACATAACGAAACTACGCCTTCCTTATCAGTGTAACTAAAGACAGCGTGCGGAACTTTTCATTATAAAAAAAATCAAAAATTTCTTACTAACTGCCGAATTGTGTAGTAAAAGGTTGTAAAAACCAATCCTCAAAAAATAATAAGCAGGATGGAATCACATTTCACACATAAGTATTGGAGAAAACTTACATATTCAGTAATTTAAAAATTAAATTTAAGTAATTGCTTGGAACACAAAACCTCAGCCAAATATTACCATCGTTAAACGTTATTATTTACCCCGAAATCAGGTAACTTTAATTTTATAACGCGTTATTTCTAACAAACCACAAATTACGTTATGTATTTTTTTCTTGTTGTATGGAAATGATATTTAATAAATTTTGCATTCAAAATACTACATAGAGGTCCAGATCATAGATATTGAAGTGTTAGAATAAGGAAGTAAAAAATAAAAACGGGTTTAATTTTTTACTTCTTTATTTTTTATTCTAAACGGGTTTGCATACATTTTTTCATTTTCAAACCCAAATCAAAATGTGAAAGAGAAGTGGATTTCAGTCATTCGTAATAGTCGAAATGAACCTTCATGGAATCCAACTTCACGCAGCGTAGTTTGTTCGACTCATTTTAAGAGCGATGATATGTGTTTTACTATAAAAGGGTTACGTCGAATAAAGCAAAACTTATATCCAAAGGTTTCAAACTTTCTATATATTAAAATTTTAGTTAACATAGTGGAAGTTTTCAAACTTAACTTAAAAATTAATTAAATAGTCTCTCTAATGTATGGCCTCCAATAATATTTACCTACTCTTAAAGATTTTAGAATATCTATGCTGATATTGACAAACGAATTTACATTATATTATTAAATAGCATAGCGTTAACGTTAACTCTATAACGTCGTAACGTTAAGTTATTGGGGTGTTTTTAATGACTATGGTCACACTGGCACGCACACTACAATTGCTAAAAATCGGCTTCACTTTGTTATTCAGCGAACTCCGTCTTTACTTTTTATTTGGTCATTACACTAGATTCCCGACTGCAAAGGGATCCTCATATTGATAACTTGTCAATAGATGTGTGCGCCGCGCCGTGCCGATGACCGACGCCGCCAATCATGACACGCCGCCGCTGGCCGGTTAGAAAGATCGGCGTAAACGGCGCGGGATGGCTCATGGCACGAACTGCGAGTAACATTCGTTCGCTCGGTTGCTAAGCAACGTTGTGCATTCTCTGCAGCACGTGTTAATTCCGTTCCGTATTCCATCCTTATTTCCATATCTAGTAAAATTGATTATTTCCATATCTAGTAAAAAAATGATCGGATGCAAACAAATAAACAATCAAATCTTTCTTCTTTAATTAAAGCTGTCAACAATGAAATCTTGTACAATTAATGTAGCACTCGTTTACAAGATGGAGTTGGCAGAAATCATAAATTCAATACATACCCTTATTTGTCTACTCTAGCTAAACCGCTACGAGCACACCTAGCGAACGTATATCCTCTGTAGCTGGCCTTACTAAAACGGCTAAAAGATTGCGTCTAACTGGGAATAATATCAATAAAATTATTTCTATACATGATAACTATTAGGTTGGGGAAAAGGTCTTTTCGCATACATATAGTATGCATAAAGTTGCAATAAAATATTTCTAGCTATACCATTTCTATGTGGCTGGTTTCGGTATCATCAAAAAGTTTTCGAATTCAAATTAGGAAAATGTGTGATTTTCTTACTGTGAAAATGAGTAAATCTAATGAAGAACTTAGATACATTTTAAAATTTATATAAAAAGGTAAAAATGCAATGTAAGCCGCGAAAAAAAATTATGACGTTTATAAACCTAATTCAGTTTCTGTGGGAGTAGCACAAATTTGGTTTAAGCGTTTTCAGTCTGAAAATTTTGATGTTAAAGCATATCAGTGGTTACGACGAAGCTGAGCTCACTGAAAGAAACCTAAAGAACCGTGTATCTTTTGTGATTATTTATTGCGGCGTAATGAAACCGAACCATTTT